CCCGAAACTTGATAAAAATTAAAAGTTAAACTAAATTAAGTCGCTAAGTTAAACAATTCAATTTAATTTAATTCATTACACCATCTAATATTGAAATTGGAAGTTTTTTTTCGCCTTACGTATCAAACCTTCCTTTCATTCAAATTAAACGCTTTAAAACATATATTTATACAAATTATCATCGTAACGAGTTAATTAAAAAAGGTATCTACCCTCCCATAAACAGTTTCTTAAAACAAATTATACAATTAATAGTCTTGTATGGCTATTTGAAAGCCGCATTATTTCGAAATAAGGTTTCATTGTTACCCTATGCGCTCCTTTCTGTAATTAATATTAATTGCAATATTATAGTAATGATTTATTGTTTAGGCTACGCCATTTGTACGTATAACTATTATTTATTAGTAAACGCTGTTGTGGATCTAAAATTTTGTAAATTCCTACAAATATGGTATATACTTTTCATATTATTACAAATTTAGTTACATACTGTCTCTTTTTAAGGGCCTGAGGCGAAAACATGTCTATTCCATCGATTTATAGTCGGTAGTCGATATAAGTTGATCAGTCTTTTGAGTTCCGAAAATCGTTTTTTAAGGATTCAAATCCACCAAAAATAGCGACATGTTAGGTAAATTTAAACCTTTGTAACCAAATAGTAAAAATTATGAATTATTTATGTCTCTTTATTACTAATATACGTTTATTCCCGGGATTCAAATCCCTGGACTAGATAAAAAGTTGTAATCGGGGTAAAGAAGACTCATCAATTATTTGCCTGATGTAGTTTATATGTCATAATAACGTTATATTGTTTCACTTCCTTTTTTTTTTTCGCAATAAGTATTTCATAAATTAATTGAATCTGTTTCTTGCGTGTTGCAAAGATAGTTGTGTTCGTCTTCCTAGAAATAATAATAATGGAATGAGGTAATTAGTTTTATATATTTTTATTTTTCTCTTTTACTAACGTCAGTCTAGTAAGTCTTTGGGCTATTCTAAGTAAGGGATAAGATTTGCGTCGACATAAGTCGCCAATTATGTCAGATTTGTCAAAGTAATCCTGTATCACTTTTTTAACTCTGGAAACAAGGTTGTATACACTTAAATATATCCTAATTGGGTTCCAACATCATCTGCTAACCCCACTATTTAGATGACCAACCCTTGTCACATAGTAAAAGCAATGAGTTTTCATGCAAATCTCACTTTTACTCTGTAGAAAATGTGATATATTTTCCAGTGGGGTTGAATAAAAGATACTTCCCCGGATAGATGTTTAGTATTTTGTCACGCCGTTCGTTATATGTGACATGGGTCCGTTTAAAAATATCGGAATTCATATTCTTGTTATATAAATGAAATGGTATCGTTTGAGTAATCATTTTGACGTTTTTGAATACCCTTAGGGGAGGTTTTGTTTAATTTTGTGATTATTCAAACCTTTGGGCGCTACGTAGATGTTCGTAGCGTTTTGCTACGAAGTAAAATTCATATGATAATGTATTTAAATATAAATGTAATAATTACACAGGGGGGGGGGGGGGAAAAAAAAACAGGGTGTTAAGGACAAAAAAAAATTTCCTTAGAAGTGCAAAAAAAAGAAGTTATTATATTCCTTTAATGCCAATGGTTAATGACGCAGTAGTTCTGTTGATAGAGCGTTATACACTACTGGTCGTTCATTCAAGACTTGCTTTTGGCACCTTTTTTTATCTTCTGAATAATATGATTATTAAGTTATATAATATAATTTTCTTGTCAATTGAGATTTTTTTTATAGATCAAGGGTAATATTTTTTGCCACAAAATTACAAATTTGGCGAAGAAAATATTTGACCCACTTTGAATCCCTAAACATGTTTCAATAAGCATGAAAGATTCGTAAAATTTTGGGGACTCAATAAAAATCTTTTAAAAGCATAAGAGGACACACAGAAAACAAATTTAATTAACTGAAGTTGTATGGGCCATTACTTCTTTCTGAATGAAGAAATTTGTTTATTTTCTATTACAAACTGGCCTGGTTTTAAGAAGGTTGAAAACGTACTTTAGTCAGTGGATAGAAGGCCCGTACAATGGCTGCCATTAAAAACTTGAACTTAACTTGACTGACGTTAAGTAATACTTCGGTTGTTTGCGGTTTATTTTAAGCTTATGTTGACGATATGTAGTATATATAATAAACATTACGTTTAAATACCACGATTTTTTTTGCTGAATAATTATTGAATGTTAATTGCGGGTTCACGAATGATTCATATTATCGATTTTATATATTTGATTAGTATTAACACAAAAATCAAATTATAAGTTAATAAAACCTTTACGAATGTCACGGCCATTGGCTTGAGCATATCATTATTTTTCGGGCTGTTCACGACTGAGCGTCACACAAAAAGAGGTTCTTGTCGTGTCGCGATCACGAGCGGACGGCATCATGAGGTGATGTTGTTAGCTCCTCGACTGCTCGAAGAATTCGTCGAGAACCTTTTCTCGCTCACGTCGCCCGAACAACCGGAAAAACAATAATAAATTATAAGTAGAAATTAATCTATAACCTGAAGAGTTTGTTTGTATGTTTGAACGCGCTAATCTCAGAAACTACTGGTTCAAATCAAATTGAAAAATACAAAACCAATTTTTGTTCATTAAAGCATTTTTGAGGCAGGCTATAGGCTATAAAACATTGCGTTGTGATTAATAGGATCGAGCAACAGCGGGAAATGTGGAAAAAACGGGGAAAATTATTACATCTTTGTTCCGATTGCGTGCGAAAACGATTTAAGATAGCCAAAACATGTATGATAAAATATTCCCTGGAAATATCTAAAAATATTCAAAGTATAGTCTATCTTTTAAGATAATTTGTAAAAACGACGGGACGCGGACGACGCCGTGGGTAATTGAAAAATATTATATGGATGAGAAGACGGTTTGCAAAAGAACTATTTTATATGCGAACGAGCTCGCAGGCACTGATGTCATAATAAAATATTACGATCATTTGGCAAGAAATAGCCACAGGTAGACACTTAAAATAACTTGATATGGTAAAAATAGTAGTAGTAGTTAGTCGGTTTTTTTTAAAGTTAAGTTAGTTGGGACAAAGTTGAATACCGTGATCTTTGTTGTACCTACTCACAAGAGCTTAATGTATGTGGGGAATTGCAAACGTCTCGATGACACGATAAGTATGCGGTGTGGGGAAACAATAAACTATAGCACTCTTAGAGGGTCAATACCAGACGCAGTACTTCATACCAGTGCTGGGGGCTTATGCACTACATTCTTACCCTATCGTGTGAAAAGATTTTCGTCTCTACGTTCACAAATATAGAGAGAGTAGAAATTGACGAAAATGATTCTTTACTTATGTAATATATTGATATTATAAAGTTGAAAAGATGTTGTTGAAAGAATTAAAAAAATATGATGCCCAAAATACCTATTTCGAATGAAGTGGCGGGTACAGTTAGTGTTATATGGAAGAATGACTACGCAACAAAGTAGGCGAGCGTTAGGTAGGGCGAGCGTGTCATAATTATCTTATAACTTGATCACTCAGTCTAACATAGTATAGCGCGAATTTAAACGTTATAAGTGAGAAAATAAAGCTTATAATTGCTACCATTCAGAATAACGCCATCTATAACAGAGTCGCTACATTAAATAGTCAAACGGTCGCAATAGTTTCCCAATGAAAGCAAACCACGTCTTATTTACTACTTACTAACAAATCAAACTCGAATCGAATTTTCTGACACTAAGTGGTATATTATATAACTATCTGGCAACATAAATCCTTATAAATTAGATAGCAATTCACTAGGCCAGTATGTGACGTCACATGTCTTAATCAATTTTAAAATTGCCTTGCCTGTCTCTTTAATAGATAAATCAGGTCTGTGGATTGAAAAATACAATTTTCATTTTTCAAAGACTTTAGACTATTCTATTTTTTGCACAAAGATAAATATTTTGTTGGACCACCAAATGTCTATAATATTAACTATTACCCTCTGTATGTAGAAAATATAGTAATATAGTTTTAAAATATACTTTAGTATACCACAAGTGAGTAATAAAACGTAGCTTTCAAAATGAGTTGAAACTTTCTGAATATTAAAATGTTGAATAGTGTGTGGCTCTGCGGTTGGTGGAGTAACAGGAATGTTCCCTAAGATTTTCACAAACTTAACGCTAGTTGAAGTTAAGCTATGTAGCATTATAATATAAAACTTTTATTTCACTGCAGCTCTTCAATTTTAATCATCTGCGTAATTTATTCGGAGTTTTATTATCACTTCCACACAACTGACATAATTCGTGACTTATGTCGATCATTTTATCACTAGTATGAGAATTGCATCCCTTTTTATTTAAAAAAATATATATTTGTTTTTATCACATCCATTTTCCACCGTTTCTTTACAAATCCTCACTCAACAAACTTTTATAGAAAGTAGTTAAAAATTTTCTTCCCAACGCTAAATCGTTTCGGAAAATCAAAATCTTAATGGAGGGAACCATTAAGCATTCATTGATTCTTAATTTATCTTTCTTTCTTTTTCTTTGATTCAAGAAGTTAATCGCTCAGAATCAGAAAAGGTTCAATTATAAAAGAGTCGTTAATCTTTCTTTCGTTATTTTCATTAATTTAGTTCGAGCTGTATGCGATTAATTTTGTTTTCAGTAATTTAATCAATTTCTTACGAATTTACGATTTAATTAAAATATTTTTTTTTAGTAGAAGAAAAAGTAGAAGTTATCTGTAACCTTACTTGTAGCCTGCCGAATGGGCCACAGTTTTATCTGTGGGTTATATAACTTTACTCGTATATAATCTCTATTGTTTAACAGATTATTAACTAAATTACATACAAACTTTAATACAGGTAACGCATATTAAAAACAAAGTTTGGCAGTGACACGTCTTAAATTTAGGTGTATGCTAATTTTTAAAAATGTAATAAATTATGTAATTATTATTTGTAATGGAAGGATATAGCTACCCGTACGCCTCACCCTTTTCCCCTCCAGCACCCGACAGACACTTTCCCGACCATGGGGACTGCTTGGGAGATTATTATGAACTGGGATCGATTCCAGAAGATAAAAATAATAGAAGGTATATAATTTAAATAGTATGTCAGATCAATATTATGTGTTATATGTCGTTTATTGTATATTAATGAGACTATTCGTAATGTGTCTATGTTTATATGTATGTACTATTCTACTTCAAATGTCAAGCATGGGGCATCACTGAAAATCGGCGTTGTACCTAGTTCCAGGTACAACAAAAGCTGAGTGGTGTCCCTCCACATATTATATTAAATTTATTAATAAGTATTGTATTTTTCTACTATATAAGCTATCGTAATACCCAACATTTTTCTTTTGGCAATTTTCAGTTTACATAAGCGCATTAACCTCTACACTAGCGTTGTGTGTACGTACTCAATCGAGACACGAACCCATGAACTTAGTACCTTTTTGGTTTACATAGCTTATAACATATGTTCAGTTTATCAGTTGATTGAAAAATTTCAACAATGACGTGAAGACACAGTAGCTCAATTGGTCCGTTTATGCCATGTGACAATTTAATTACTGTGATTAAATTGTTCAAGAAAAAGCCGACCGAAACAAATGAAGACAAAAAGGGAACGCGGGGCGAACAGATCAAGATCTAAGAGCAGAACGTCACTATCTGACCGTTCTCATGTCGGGTCAGTCTCCAGGTCAGCATCAGGATCGCGGTCGCAAACTCGATCGCCATCGCGTAGTCGCCGATCGGGAAGTATTCGGGACTTGACTGTACGCGAACCGAGCTTTCTCGACGCTTTTCGCGTTATGTATTTGACACGTACGTATTAATTTACGTATGTATTGGTTTTACTAGCTGTGCCAGCTACTTCGTCCGCGTAGAATAGTTATTTAACAGATAGACAGAAACGGACGGACAAAATGTTGTAAGCAATATACATCCTAAAGTATATAACGTAAAAAACATGTAACCGTAACTTAAAATATTTACCTACCTACCTCAATATTTGAATAAAGATTTACTTCCCTCTAATTTGTATAATACGAATAAAAACTTAAGCATTAAAGAAAATGTTGGAAAATAAACAGCAACCTCAGCAAATGCTGCAGTGCTTTACACAACTGTAGCGCCGAATTTACAAACAATTCCTTCATTACTAAAACTAAGTACTATCCATATTAGTTATATTATAACAATAACCAACAAATACTGTCTATAGTTTACGCGAGTAGTACACTTAGTAAAAATAATAAACACTTTAACGCGAAATATTAGTTAAACTTTGAAGTTTATATATTAGTTAAACTTAAAGTTCACGTAAGTACTTTATTTAAATAACCAACAATACAAGCTTTCTTAATAACAAAAAGATAAACACAATCTATTTGGGACGCTGTGCCTTACGAGTGTAAGTAAGAGGCAATCCAAAATATACTTATACATAAAATAGGTGTTAAAAACATGTTTGACATCTGCCGATGTATTTTAGCAATAAAATCTTTAATCCTCTTTTGAAAGTTATTTTCTTTATTTCAGCCAGTAAGCACAAGAAAAGTACTACCAAGTATCTAGCTACAAAAAAACGACTTGATAGAATCCAAGAGATACTGAAAAGTGACGGGCTCGGTTCGAAGCGGTGGTTACTCTACCCCAGGCCACAGCGTGACCACAAAGTCCCAGACAACACCAAAGTCCCCGCAACGATGGTGCCGCGAGATTGTGACCATAGAGTAAAAATCGACGGTCACTTCTTCCGGAAATACAAGCGAAGCAAACACGTCGATAAAGACGCACCGATTGCTAAACTCAAACGCTGGGAACTGATGTTTTATAAGAAGCTAGGTTTTATTCAGCCTTTATAGTTTATGTTCGTAATAAAGTTGTTATTGATTTTTTTTTATTTTAATTACCTAAACATGTATAGGATCCATTATATTCATACTACAGAGTTTAACAATAAGTAACAAGGTTTTAACGGTTTAAAACAAGAACTAATAGACTTTTATTATTGGATTTCAGCAGTTGTACTAGAACTCATAATTTAAAATAAGCAATTAAGTAGTATATATAGTTCGTATTTTTATTGTTTTATCAATTTGATATTTGTCACATTTTGTAAATGTTATCGAACAAATTCACTAGCTGAATCAGCGACTACGTCCGCGTAGAATAGTTATTTTGGCCATCCAAAATTGTTTTTTGCTAACTGTTACCAACATCATCGGTCGCGTCCCGTCGTTCTTGCGAGTTCTTAAGAGATAGACATACTGTCGCGGATATTTTTTGGATAATTTAAAGAAGAATCATTGGCTTATACATATTTTCTGTGTACCCTGAACAAATGAATAAATGAAAATAAATAATTTTTCCCGTTTTACTGCATTTCCCGCTGTTTCGTCGCTCTTAGTCACAGCGCAGTGTTTAATAGCCTTCCTGGATAAATGCTCTAACCGACAAAAAAAGAATTTTACAATTCGAAGCAGTAGTTCTTGAAATTAGCGCGTTCAAACAAACGAACTCTTCAGATTTATATATTAGTATATACATTACATTCATTCTATATAGATTTTTAATAAAGCAAGTAAGTCCTAGACAATTTGGGTATTTCTCAAGTTTAATGTCCACTTATGGCTTGAAATGTCGGTTTTAAGTGTATATGAAATTTTACGTAGAATTTAGGTATTGGGCATATAAACAGTCTGCGAATACGAGTTTTTAATTCTACTTAGTAAATTAAAAGCGTCACTCACTTTAAAAGTGATAGATTCCTAAGGGCTTTCGACAGGCTTAGGGAGTCTGGAGTTCTAAATCATATAGCAATAGTAGCGGCACGCCCTTCGTAGTAATTTTATTCTATTCACCAAGTGTCAAGATACCACAGTACGAAATTACAAATTCGGTATGAAATTGTCGAAATTCAAGTAAAAATACTTATTTGTATAGCCTTTAACCTAAATATTGTCAAATTGATAAAACAATGTCTTCTTTAGGTCTACCTACACATCCACAATCAACATTGGATAAACTACGTGTGAAGAGAAAACTGTATATGTTAAATGAATGTTTAACGGTTTAAAACGCGAAATGTATTAGTTAAACTGAACTATAATTTATTTTAAATACCGCCCTACGTTTCGGATGCTTTGCAGCGTGACCGCGGGTGGTAAATCAGTTTATAAAATACATTTCGCGTTTTAAACCGTTGAATAGTGTTTTATTTAAATGTGTACTACTCGTGACAATACTTGAGATGTATGAGTGCCAAAAACTATGTATGTAAAAGGTTATAAGTAATAAGAATATTATTTCTATACATCTATAAAATTATGGTCCAATATGCATACATTATCTAGTTTTTACAAAAGATCAATCTGTATAGTAAATACATAGTTTACAGTCCCCGTTGGAAGATCTAATAAAACTCAGCCGTAAATTTGACATCTCGATAGAATCCGAGTGAAAAACCGAGCCCTTAAAAAATATTCAAATTCAAACGTCTACGCGATGTTTTATTCGTAATAATTTGAATTCAACCCTCGCGCGCCGCGCTCGTTCTGAAGTACCCCGCTCTTTATGTTATTTGCGTTCTGCGCACCCGAGTTGCGTTTTTAAGTAATTGCTTGCATTTTGGTAAAAAAAAATTTAAATGTATACAGAGCTGTGAGCCGTGCTTTAGAAACTTTTAAATTAACGTTAACTTAAAGGTGTCTAGAATGGGAGTATTTTTTCTAGAGGAGTATCTTTTGTGTTGGACGAGGCGCGTTAACTGCTGATGTAAACGTTAAATAGTTACTCATTTAATTGAGTGCGTACATCTATGGAAAAGGGAATGAAGATCTGAAGAATTGTTAATAGGTACTGTTAACTACATACTAACAATTACAGGTTGAGTCTCTTGGAAGAGGGAGTCTCCCCGAGATCATGGCTGCTGCAAAGCATCCGTTTCGGATCGCACCGTAGTTAAAATAATTTGACTAATACCGTAAAAGTTTTTTATTTAAATGTGTACTACTCGCGTAAACTGCAAACAGTCTTTACATTACAAGTTGCCTAATAAACAAACTCAAACTTTTATAGTAAGCCTTATTTTTCGTCTGACGTAGCTGAAGTTTACGAAGAACAGCAAAGAAATTTCGCTAAGCCATTGCATGGTTATGCGAATGGCTTAGCGAAATTTCTTTGACAAGGTAAATATTCTGAAGAGAATAGAATAATCTGTTGACAAAGAAGACACATAAAATATAGGTCGAAACAGAATTCTTAAAATGGCTAATGTCGACAACAAGTCACGTTACACTGCCTATGCTTCAATAAATTAGAATACAATAGTCTTCACACGTAGTTTATCAAATGTTGATTTTGGATGTGTAGATAGACCTCCATAAGAATATCACAAAACAAGTTAAAGGCTATACAAATATGTATTTTTACTTGTAATTCAACAAGTTTCATACACAATTCGTAATTTCGTACTGCGGACTCTTGACACTTGGTGGGTAGAATAAAATTACTACGAAGGGCGTGCCGCGACTATTGTTAGTATTTGTTAAATAATCGACTGACTAACATATTTCGAAAATAAACTTTATTAATTATCCCAATTTCATGTAGCGAATAATAGCCCCAAAACTCCCTAAAATGGCGCAAATAAAAACGTAACATATTTCCACTTGATCAGTTTACAACGCTTCCCCGCTAATACGTTTAGTTAAATGACCCCCGAAACGGTTAAAAAGACCCCGGGATCAACAGAATTAATGTCTCTAGCCTCTACAATTATCGTTTTTGCTCTAAATGCTTATAAATAATGAGAGTAAAAATCGTTAACAAAATGTTTTTTATTTCGCTACTTGCTTAATTGATATTGTTAAATAAAGCATAATAAAATTAATGTCGACTTTAATGATTTATTATTTTTTTTACGCATATCTAATTTTTATAAATAGAATAGATTTGTATCCCTTATACTACACCATAAGTACCCGTACGAAGGCTACGGGGCAGATACACATCTGTGTTCTCAATGATCCTAACGCTATGCTAAGCAGATTTAATAATGAGGCTCAAGAATTCCTAGTTTATATATTTGTTTAATATTAAAGATACATTGTATATTTGTAAGAAGTGCTTATCAAAGAATATTTAAAAAACTTAGTACATTATCAATATGAATTGCACAGATGAAAAATTTACGCCTGATATTATATAAAAGGGGCATTGTGCGAGGTTGATTTAATGAAAACATCGCAACAGGAAAATTATTTTCGAGTTACGGTCCGTTTGTGTTGGGTAATAAGATATTTAATAAGGACTTCTCTTACGTACTTACATAAAATAATAATATTCCTTTGTAGCTCATAACAATTGAAGCGCTAAGAGCACGTCTTGAAACAAAACTAAATAACTTAATACAGGGTTTACATGGCGTATCTCAACGTGAAGTTAGTACAACTAGAAGGTGCCTATATGATCCACCCTGGTTATACCACTTTTATAGTATTTATCACCAGGCAGTTAAATCTTGCAAGGGAAAAACGCAATCCTCTCCTCCCGTGACCACGGCTGCTTTAAAGCATTCGACACTTTCGGCCTTAGTATAAATAAATTAACAGGATTTCGTGTTTTAAACCGTTAAAAGTGTTTTATTTAAAAGAGGACAAATTTCATTCCTTAATTTTACTTACGCTCATCCCAGCTCCGCTCTTGTATTTAACAAATTAATATGTAAGCTCTCTACGATCGTGTCATATATAAACTTAGTTGTGTAATGAAAAATTGTATAGTTGATTGTAAAAATGTCATTATAAGGTCTAAGAACTCGATATTGTCAATTGCATTTATTTATTATAAAAACTATTGCAATATTTTGTTCGTATGGCTGTTCCTATATTTTTGTATCCATGTTACCGGGATATTCCCTAAGGTAATTTGAATGCAGAGTACGATGAAGAAGTTTTGTGCATACTGTGAGGGGAACTATTCGGAACGTGTTCGCTTGTATTTCTTAATAGCCACCTCGGGGGCATACCGTGTTTGAGTAATGTCGAACGATATCGGAGTGAAAGATTTATGCCGTCGTACGAATTAAATTCGATTTGACTCCTTGAACGCTAACAATAAATCGAAGACACCTTACGTCGGACTTCTTGTCTTCAGTTCGCAAGACATTGGATACGTTCAATGACTAATATAATACAGTTCATATTATAAAGCTGAAGAATTTGTTGCTCTGATCGCGCTAATCCCAGGAACGCTTTGGTTAGAACATTTATGCGAAGAGGCTTTAGGCTATAAAACATACGCTGGGTATTGATGCCCAATAACTATGCTACGCGTACGAAGTAGCTGGCAGAGCTAGTGTTTATTAATAAATAATTAAACACACACACATACACATTACTCATATATCGGTTTCTATTTGAATCATTATTATATTATACTAGCTGTTGCAGCGACTTCGTCCGCTAAGAATATTTATTTTGGGCATTCGAATTCGAAACCCCCATCATCTTTATAAACTTAAGTTGTTACCCACGACGTCTATCGCGTCCCTTCCTGGCGTTCTTGCAAGTTATCCTTAGAAGATAGACATATAGCGTCGCGGACTCTTTTTTTAGATCATTTAAAAAGAAATCATTTTCTGAGATTAGCGCGTTTAAACAAACAAACAACTCTTCAGCTTTATATATTATGAGCATAGATTATACACTACATATGTTGCAATACTATTTTGAAACCAAGGTCCATCACTGTGATTACGCTGCAATTAAGTATGCATATAATTAAATCCTTCTTCACGTTATAACTAGTGAACATGCTTTGTGATATGGAATAGAGTCATAAAATGAAAGAAAAAAACAAT